GCACTTGATTCTTATTGGGCCTAAAGCCCATTTCGAACTGGGTTGATTTGATCAGTCATTAACAAGGGGCGGATCTGAGATTATGATGAGCCCAAGAAGCTTATCTAATCTGCAGTTAAGATTAAGAAGAGTCATAATCCAAATACAGATTTGGATAAGGGCAACTTATGATATGATCAGGAGGCTTTCTTAATCATTAAGCAACTGGAGAAAACGCTATTGTTCGAATTACAAGAATTCGAACCCTAGGGAACACAATACACCCTGCAGTTTTGAGATAGGATCTCAGAAACCCTAGAGAAAGAAAATAGCAGTTCACCATCTTCTTCTCTAGCCTTTCTCCTTCAACAGCCGCCACCTATTGAAGTTCGATTTTCTCTGGCAGAGAAAGATCAATAAAAGTTCTTGATATCAGTATTTGTGAAAAGGCTGATCTGTGTTCGGTGCTCATTGCCTCCAAAGGATTATTGTGAAGGATTCGGTGTGTAGGACGCACTTTGTTGGTTCTGTTTCACAGTTGTTGTGTCATCTTCAACAGGAGTAAATCTTGGTGTCTTCTTTGAACATGAACACCAACTTTGGGAGATATTATTTCTCTGGATCAGGTATAATCCTTACATTATCTTTTTGGTTCGATTATGGTTCAAGTAGGATCCTTGAATCTTGATTCTAAAATCAGGGAATGCGATTCCCAGTTGAAAGGTAAGTAGAAAATTTTTGAAATTCACCCACCATTCCGCATGATTTTTGGCGTCCATTCGATGGATTGTACCATCCCTTTCAGTAGGATGCCACACTCACTTTTTTTGTGAATGGATAGACCTATATTTGTAAGTGGGAACAATTAGGGTGCCACTTGTCTTAAAAGAAGATTATGCATTTGTTTGGCATCGATGTCGTTACTCTAGAAAATGGTGACATATCAGTGCTACATTAGAAAAAACGGTGCTCTAGGAAACGTCACTATGTTTGAAACCATTTTTTCCGCTCCAATCCACACCTTGATTGTTTGGAGCAATGCCAAATTAGATATTTTCTCAGATTGGAGCTCATTGCTGCCAATGAGGACATGGTGTGGCAATGATGTGGACTTCCTATAATGGGTATCGATGCTGAAAACAGATATGGAACACTAGTACCAAACAGAAGGTGTTGTTGTTGCTCTAAGAAACGTCCTACCTGGCAGCAACATTTCCAAACAAAAAAATACACCATTTTTCTAAGAAAACAATGCTTCCAACCCACAAATCAACAACACCGTTTTCTGTATCTGCAACATAGATGCCAAACATATACTATAGTACGAGGGTTTTGTTTTAAGGGCCTTCTACAAAAATAAATAAATTTGATAGATTAATTGCAAAAGCAGTGAAAATGACAAAAAAATAATTTTTTGGACCAATTTGCCCTTTTAATTCTGCAATTGGAAATTTGAAAACGCAGCCATTCAACGTCTCCTTCCTTTGAACACCACCACCAATAGCAGCAAATTAAGATCTCTTTCCCAATTTTCTCTATCCCTCTCTTCCTCTTCATCTTCCCCCATTTTGTAAAACATTATTTTCTTTATCTTTTCCCTCATCCTTTGTTGGCTTTCCACTAACATGACTTTAATAGTGGCGGCAACGAATCAAATTCCAATTCAGTTTCAGTGTAAATGGCCTTTATTTTTGCATAACTCTTATGAATCTTATAAAAGGGAATTATTTATTGATGAAAGGGTAATTGTTGGAAAACTCACCATGACTTTTCAGCATTTCTCTTAAACCCACCATAACTTTTCAAAACATTTAAGACTCACCATGTCAATGAATTTTTATTTTCCAGCACCATTAATATTCACTAACATAAGTTGTCCATGTCAACATATATACAATTCACATGACCAAATTGCCCCTGACTGGCGAATTAGAAAAAAAAATATACTCATTTAGGGTCTCTCTTTGCCGATCTTCACTCTTCCTCTGTTGCTCATAACTTCCTGCATGCCCTTATGGGTAAGTACAATCTTGGGGTTGGGAATCCGACCATAAGCACTCTCATCAACGTTGCCTTGGCTCTGCCGATGCCATACTAGAATGATATGTCGAGGATGAACGTGTTGGGGTTAGCAGATTAGTCTTGTCGGGGTAACAAGCTGACCCATTAAGCGAAGCAACTTGGGCTGCTCTAGACCGTCAAAAGGTGTCCTCACAAAAGTGAATAAGAAAAGAATGGAACAATTTCAGGTGTGAAGTAGGGAGAGATGAGAGGGAAAGTAGTAGGGCAGGGCAGATGACATGTATAGGCGTAATGGTTGCCATTAACGCAATTGAGAAGTGGAAATGATAAAATATGGCAAGGTGGGTGGTGGGTAAGCGAAAATGATGAAGTCATTTGTAGTCCAGCTGCAGCATTAAGAAAACAAAAATAATGGCGGTTAACGTATTTGTTTGTTATTCAATAACTTTGGTTCTCAGTCTGGTGAGAAAGAGAGGCAGAGAGCAATTCAATGAATGATGTAGTCTTAAGAGCAAACGAACGGGCTGAGTTTTGTACGATTTTATCAATCATCGTTACATAAACTATGCAAAGGATGGACCCTCCTCCTAAGTAAGACAAAGGAATTAGAGAAAGATTCATTGTACCATCCGCGTGGGTTCTAATCTACCACCTATGCATTCAATGTACTCAACCTCTCCCATTGCCAGCAATTATCAATTAATTTGTTTAGAGGATTCGTTGTTCAATTATCAATTGCTCCCATTCAATCTTCATATGACGCCATGCTAGATCGTAATGAAAGAAAATGGGCAAAAATGAAGAGTGAACCAGATAAAAGAACATGGAAATCCCAAGTTATAAAATCAGATAAAACAAAGCCTTACTTCATGAGGATTCAGATTTCAGAAGAGATCGTACACATCAAGGAGGAGAGAAGGTTGGGTTGAGGTTGATTTCTCATTTCATTTGAAGGAGGAGAGAAAGAGGAAGCGAGGGTTTTGAATCCTTAACTTCTATGGCATCAACTGCTATTTTCTCCTCTTTGCGAAGAAGAAGAACATTGTCATATGAGGCTTTCTTGTCTCCGGTCAAGCTCAACAACATCGGGCTGGTTCAGATGATCTCCATTGTTGCTAATGAGTTGATCTCGTCCTTTTTGCATCGAGTGTTTCCCTTCCAACGAGAGAATTCTAGGTCGCTGATTTGGAAGATAGAGGTCTTTGTCGTCCTCTTTGATTTCCTTAGGGATTTTGGCTCGACTCTTTCGTCTACTGTTGTTCTTTGTCTGAAGGAGCTTTATCTTCTCATTTATTGGCCAAAGACTCTTCTAGATTACTGCTCACAATCGAGCCGATTGTGGCTTCTCCTACAAAATTCCTCGATTTCTGGCCACTTCCATGACCTCAACCAAGAAATCTCCACGCTTCTTGATGTTTTGCCGCTGAAAGAGCTTGGTCTAACTCCCAACGTTAGAGAGCATTTAGAGCTTATGGGGAAGCAAAGCAAGCACGAAGAGCCAAGTTATTTGTCAATCAACATGATGAAAATCTCAGACTCCACCTCTACTCTTTCCTTATTCGAGTAGGGACGAATACTTTATGCTGCAGAACTTCAAACATTCTTTATCAAAAAATTGGGGATTGAAGAGGCAAAAATTTCTAAAGCCGAGATTGAGTTTATAGAGGAGCACATTTACAATAACGAAGGGGATGTTGAGCCAACTGTACCGGTACTCAATGGCTTTCTCGTGCTCAATAGATGTTGAGGAAGAAAAAGAAGTGGGTATTGGGAATCAAAATAAATATATATGTGTATATTATATGAAGGGAAAAATGATAATATATTAACAACCATTACTCCGTTTAACGAGACAGGATCTGCTCCTCCCACTTGCGCGCCTCACATGCATATCCACCGTGCATTGGGAATATCCCATGAATAATACCTAATATTCACAGGAGATGCTCCCAATGCATGGTAGGATGTGCGTGTGAGGCGCCAGGTGTGAGGAGCAAATCCTGTCTCCCGTTTAATGTTAAGACATGGTGAGTTTTAGATGTTTTGAAAAGTTATGGTGGATTTAAGAAAAATGCTGAAAAGTCATTGTGAGTTTTGGATAATTACCCTTGATAAAAAATAAAGAGGTTGGGTTGTGTGGTAGTTAAAGGGTTTTACATCATTCCAATTTAGAGTAGTGAGGCAACTAGCCACCAGGAGGGAGTAGTGTTTGGTTCTATGTACTTTATTTGCTTCTAAAACCGAGAAAGGTAATGATTACAACCGTTTATGATAATTAGGCACCACTTGGCACCACATCAGCATAACGGTTAAAAAATGCCTAACCGTTGGATAAAACTTAAAAAAATAACTTCCCCAAACGATAGACATGTACAAAAACCAAATTCACCTTTTGCCATTATGAAAAAATATCAGAGGGGATTTATTGAAATGACACCTATGTAGCAGTGTTTATTGAATAAATGTCCACGGTTCCAAACACCCCTCTTAGTCTAAAAGTATTAATTTTGGGTGTGACTCTGATATGGAAAAGACATTATATCTAAAAAATAATAGACCAATAAAGTGGAATCATAGATGTGGTAGCAAAAAAGGGTTTTTTTTTTTATCAAAATTCATGGGTGAGTTTTGATAGGTCAAAATAGGGCTTTTTTGTCAATTTAGCAAATTTTGTTAAGTTTTTTTTTTTCAAAAAACCCTTGTTAAAGGAAACCAAACAATAGAAAGAAATGGGATTAAACCTTTGAAGTATTGCATTAAGAATATCTCCCCATGAAAAAAAACATAAAAATAGGAAGATATTTGACTATTTGCAATGCACGGCTCTAAAAAATACACCACCCCCGTGTGAATTGGAAATATCTCCCCTGCATAATACTATTCAGAGGATGAGATGTTCTTCATGTGTGGCTGCGATAAACGTGGGAGGAGATCTGGACTCGTGTGAGACGGTATGAATATGGTCTAGTGAGCACCGAATCAGATCTCCCGTACGAATGGATGGACTCGAAGGAAAATCCAAACACAGGATTCAGAGTGGAGGGAACATCTCCTCAAAAAGAGGAGTTGTAGCGGTGTTCGGACGTAGAGAGCGAAAAGGCGCGAAGAACGGATAGAGAAATGGTTTACCAAGAGGACGTGAAGAACACATACAGAACAAACAACGCCTCCGAGGCATTTCGACCTCTGCTCCCAGTTTGCAGGCAATGTCGATGCCTGTTCTATTTTAGTTCTTATCGGATTATCGAATTCGCTTTGCCGGGTGCAGACCAGATAAGGAACAGGGGTCGATCTTCCATTGCCTTACCCGGTTCATGGCTGATTCTTTCTGTAGGTTTCAATCTTCACTCGGATCATTGCATTTTGTTCGCTTCTCTCCTTTGTGTATTTCCTAACCAGTTGGTTTTATGGTTTCTCTTTTATATATATGTATATAATCACGATACATGTATTGGAATTCGTGTTTTGTGATCGCTTTTGGAGATAATTGTATGTATACTTGGGATTTCATATACTTGTACAAGCTTGTATAATGCTTTCAGTGTTAATAATTTGGCGTTTTCATCATGTTCTTATGAAATGTAACAGTAAAGCAATCATATTTGGTGTTCCAAATTGGAATGGAAAATCTGAGGTTATATACGTTCTGTATTGAAGTCATTTCTTGATTTTCTGTGTTTTACTTGAGATACATTCAGTGTTATGCATCTTGTTGAGGTTATAGAAAACCCAGGAATGACAAACGGATTGGCAAGTAGAGAAGATGAAAAGAAAAATGCAAAACAGAGCACACAAAGCACACAAGGATTTACGTGGTTTGTCTTATGGCCTAAGTCGATGGGAATCAGAGGAGATGAAATCCACTATCAGCAATGGAGATTTACACTTACAGTATTTTCAGCCTCTCACCAAAGCACTTGCTCCCAATACACCCGAAGTTCCACCTCCTGCATTTCTCACACACTCTCTTGTTTTTTTTCTTAGACCCCCAAGATACAAGATAACTTTCCATGCGAGATACAAGGCTATTTATGTGAGAAAACCCCCTAATTGGAATGGTTCCCCACCGAGTGGTGGCTTAGTTGGTATGTTAGCTGGGTTGTCCCAGTGGAAATGCGGTTTCAAGTCCCTCTACCTATTTCCACCTACCTTGAGAGTTATTAGTGTGTTGCATTAAAATACCAAAAAAAGTAACGGTCCCCACAAGCTGTTAATGCGAGACCACTGTTAGTCTAGCAAGATCAGTGAGTCCTAGCTATGAGATCAGTCTGTGATACCAAGCTACCACCATGAGTTCGGAGTCCCTTGAGATCAGATAAGCTGTGAGGTTGCCTATGATGCGAGATCCAATATTTGTAAGATCCACCTATACGTGGAATCCACCTATCTACGAGAACCAATATGCCACGGGAGTGGATACTACAATCTCCACTTGTTTTTGTGAGTCCATACTCTCAATCAATAACACAAATTGAGAAATGGTCCAAGTTTCAAGTTTATTTCTCCTAATATTGTAATTATCTTTTTATATCTCTAATGAAATTCTGTTATTGATTAATAAAAGTTTGAATAGGAAAAATGTGCTATGAACTGAACTTAAATGTCAGAATTCTGCCCTCTAGGGAGAAATTAGTATGATGCTCGTGGAGTTATGATGTTGGCATGATATAATGGAGTGAAGTAGTTGTGCATGGGCAGCTCTAAAATTATGTTATTTCTTCTGTTAAGTCTTCACCATCAGCTTGAAACAGAGTACATGGTACATTTTAAGGTTTAAATGATGAAGTAATAGAAAAGAAAAGCCAGTTGATTTGGATGAGTTTTACACACCAAAAGTTGCTACTCAAAATTGGAAAGAAAGGATAAACATTACCACCCAGGTCAAAGCCAAGATAATAAAGGTAAACATTGATTTATCATTAGTCTAAATCTCACTATATGACTTATGACTCCTTGTTAGTGAACTATTCTTTTCCAGTTGAAGAAGAACAATGACAACAAGAAAAAATGGATCCTCCATTCAATTCCCTGATCAAAATCTTCTGTTTTCTCTTCCCATCTTCAACCTAAATCCTCCCTGAGTTTCTCTTCCCTTTCCCCTTATCTAGCAAAGTGCTACCATTTTATGATTTGGGATGGTTGACTGTCTATGCATTGTGCCTGTTATGAGGCATGGGTTTGGGCAATGTTCAAAATGCCAGTATTGGTGGATGATGGTCATCCAAATATAGGAAATATGTTGGCAATGTCATATAGAAATATTGTAAAAATTATAGACATGGTCGAAACATTATGAAACATGAAGTAATATACAATGATATTTTATGAGATGATAAAAGAAGCATTATTTCCAGTGATGATCGGTGGTGACTTACCTTGCCAGAGTTTGTAGGGTTCAACCGTTGGAATGGGATTCTCGTTCTTGGGGAGAGGGGCAGAATGACCATTCTCACAAATGACTTTCTAATAAAATTTTTCTTTTACTATCGAAAAAAAGAACGGGCATTCCCCCAAATGGGGGAATGCCATTCTTCCAGGAACAGGAACGAGATTCCAATTTCACCCAACCAAATGGCATGATCCATTCAGATTTTGATTCCAGACCATATTCCCTTGAAGCAAACGGGCCCTTAAAAAGCCAAGAAACTAAGGTTAATAGACAAAATAATATGCTACAAAGTTGTCTTGTAGATTTCAGGAGTTAAACTATGCAAGAGAGTAAGTTCAAATAAAATTTGAACTTTCCACCAAAAAAATTGAACCTAAAGGAAGTGTTAAGGATTCTAATAGGTCAGCCAAATAATTTATTACTCAAAAAAATTTAAGATTTAATATTCATCAAAAAAGAATTTTGAGCTATACTCTCCAGATTGAGGGGAGTGTTATAAACTAGTTAGAAAAGGGTATTTATGCTTTTTTAATGTTTAAGTTGGTTATGTTTTGTCCGTTATGTCCTACTTTAAGTTAGGTGTCCCACTCTTTAAGAGGGGCATTTAAGTCATTGTATGTTTTCCTAAAGATCTATATAAAAAACAACCAACTTCAATAGAGAGATTGACTACTCTAATTGGCCTTTTCTTGTTTCCCCTTCTCTTCTTCTCTTCTCTTTTCAGTTTTGCAGAGGTATTCATACTTAACAGAAAAGGGTGGGACACCTAAGAAGCATCCTAGTAGAGGTGTGCTGTTTTCTGATCAAGGGCACATGAAACTGGAGGCTTAATACGGACATATATGGGGCAGGTTTCCTAAGTGATAGACTCTCTATATTTGGTTTTTGCTAGGAATGGCAATGGGGCGGGGCGGGGACGGGGAGCCTCTCCCCATCTCTGTCCCTGCTAACGGAAACAAGGTTATCCCCATCCCCGTCCCCATGGGGATCCCCATCCTCGTGGGGATCCCCATTCCTAGTGAATATTTATAATGTCAACCATTTTATTTTTGTTTTTTTATTAAAAACAATAAAAAACATATTCAACTATATTCTTAAAAATGTTAATATATAGACACATGTGTACACATATACATATATAAACCTATGAATACATATATACATATATACATAAATACATATATACATATATACATATATACATATATACATATATACATATATACATATATACATATATACATATATACTAGCGGGGATCCCACGGGGTGGGGATCGGGGCCCCCCACGGGGCAGGGAGTGCTCTCCCTGTCCCCGCCAATGGGGACGGAAATTTCTCCATCCCCATCCCTGCCCCATTCGGGGCAGATTCCCATAGGGATTGGGGAAATGGGGAAAATTGCCATCCCTAGTTTTTGCACTATTGTTGGTGGAAATTTGTTGTCTTAGAAAAGCAAGAAGCAATCTATAGTGGCCTGATCATAGGGGTGATCATTTCAGCCTGGCCTGTACAAGCTTGGCATGGCCTGAAAATTCCGGGCTTGGGCGTAGGTTTTGTGTTCAGGCCCAGCCCAGGCCCGGGCTTGCATCAAGCCAACAAATTTCAAGGCTGGGCTTGAGCCTAATCCTTCAGGCCTAGCATGGGCCCTGCCTGGACTGCATATATTTAAGTATATGTATTTTATACATAATGTATACACATGTATATAAGTTATTTTTTGAAGAGTAAACAAAAAGATATTTCATTAAACAGAAAAAAGACATTACAATCTGAGTAAGTTCAAGTACATCCCAGAAACTTTCCCTGAAATCTGTCATTACAATCTGAGCAAAATTTGGAAAAACCTTGACCTAATCAGTCATTAGTTTTCCAACCAAAGCCACTAACAACTCAATGCTCTATTCTCAAACAGCCTTTTGTTCCTTTCATTCCAGATGATCCAATGCACTGTAAATGGAATGCGGCTCCACATGATCCTTGTCTTCTTGCAACCTTTGATGGTCAAGAAGAGAATAATTCTTCTGCGGTTCTTTGTTGAAATGTTCTAACACGAAAGAGGAAGGAGTAAAATTTCCAGATGAAATTTACAACCTTGCAAGAGAACAAATGGCAGACTGTCTCCTTATCCGAATGACATAAGTAATAGTAGCTTGCCAAACTGAAGCCTCTGCTCTTCAAATGATCTGTAACTAAGATGCTAGCCAATGCTACTAGCCACACGAATGCTTCCACCCTAGGAGGAACCGGATTCCCTCCCACACCTTCTACTTGGTCTGAGTCCAAATTCTCTCTAACTAAAGCCAGATAAAAATATTTCACTGGGATCTTTCCATCCCTACACTCCTTCCAACAGAGCTCATCCCTTGAAGAAGTTGATATCTTGGTTTTCTCGAGTATGTCCAGCAACATCTTCCAAAAAAAAACATAAACATTCATCTAGTTCTTGGTCCAACAAAGGTCTTCTAAATTTAGGACACCACACCACCTGCTCACTCCTCAACTCATAACACACATCCCAACCCCTCCTTCTGTTTGCCTAACACATCTTGTCCCAAATTTTCTCTAACTTGAGAGCCACTTTAGCTAGAATCTTCAACAATGACATATGAAAGGTAACATCTCGGTCCTTGGTAGATTTGAGAGAACACTTCTAACGAGTGTAATTCTATCCCCCAATAAGAGGTATTTTGCCTTCCACCTCTCCAGCCTCCTCTCAACCCTTTCTATGATAGGCCTCCAAACTCCTACTGCAGCTGACTTAGAGCCAACCGGGAGACCCAAATAAAGAAAAGGTAACTCTCCAATCTGGCACTCGAAAACATTAGGTTTACTTTCATCCCAATTAGCATTTCAAAATTCGAAGTTAGCTAAGATGGCTCTCAAATTCGGCACCTGTTCCACTGAGGCATCTAAAACCAATAAAGGGGAGATTTGATCCCCTTGACTCAACCCTTTAGATGCTTGAAAAAATTCCGAAGATACTCCACAAAGAAGTAATGAGAAAGAAACAAACGAAACACAAGCCGACAAGTGTACACCTATCTCCTCCACTTTTCTCCAAAAGCCACAAGTCTTTGCACCTCCTTCAAGAAACCCCACTCTACACGGTCATACGCCTTTTTGATATCAACCTTACAAACCAAACCAGGCCTCACACTTATTAATCTCGAATCAATACACTCACTAGCCACTAATACCCCATCCAATATTTGCCTTCCTTCCGCAAATGCCATCTAACCTCCTTGACAACACCTTGACCAATAGTTTATAAGGGCTGCTAATCAAACCTATTGGCCTAAAGTCTTATATTCACCGCCTCATCCTTTTTTTTTGAAACAAAGAAATAAAAGTTGCATTAGCTCTTCTGTCCAAGTTTTTGGAGTCACAAAATCCTTGAACATCTGCATAAAATCCTCCAAAAAATTCCATAGAACTTGATGAAATTAAAATGAAAGCCATCTAGCCCAGGGACTTTATCCCCATTAATCCTCTTCAAACAAGAGCCACCTAGTTCCACCCCCTTGCTGTTTCTTGTAAAATCCACCACCTTCTCTTGCACCTCCCCCCAAGAATCAACCAATCTTCCCCCACCTGAATTCTTGAAATAAAATTTCTCCTCCTAGCATTTGCAAACACATGAAAATAAGCTGTGTTTTTTTCTCCTTCTTTCAACCAGATTGCCTTTGACTTCTATCTCCAACTTATTTCCTCTCTAAGAATTAGCCTCTCCACTCACTTTCTAGACCCTCCCTTTCCAACTAAGCCTCTCTTGTGAAATTACCTTCTTCTTCCAGTCTATCCGACCTCGCCAACTTCCAACACTTTTTTTCTATTCTCCTCACTTCCAATTGCCTCCAACCTCCTACTCTTGATCTCCTCTTTCATTAACTGTAAGTTTCTTACTAACCTGAACCCTGATAAACTCTCCACATGAAAATTTCTCCACTTCTCCTCTGCCCAATCAAGAAAATTTGGTTGATGCAGCCAAACATTTTCAAATCTGAAAGGTTTGGCCCTAGGAACAACTATAAATTTCCTTAATAAATGGGTTTGTGCCTGACATACATAATGTCAAAGGCTCTTGCACCTCTTCTCCCACATACTCCATCCAATCCCCTGTAAACAAGAATCTGTCTAGCCTCCTAATTGTTGGAACTTGTCCCTATTTAACCAAGTAAACCTTCTACCATTTAGAGGTGGACCAATAAGCTCAAGCCTACTAATGAACTCCCCAAACCTCCTCATCCCAACAGTTGCCCTTCCAAGTCCTCTCAAAACTCTACCCTCTCCCCTTTTGTATTCGGACCATACTCATTTGTCACACCCCAGCACCAGTCCCCATTCACTTCTTGAAAATAGACCAATCCTTTCACCTATTTTCCTGAAGACCCTTGGAATCCACAAGATGACCAACCCCCCTAACAGCTCTTTTGCATTTAACTCCAACCACTCTCCACTGTTCACACCCCAAAATTCTTCCTTCATGTCCACATTGAATTTCTCCAGTTTTGTTTCTTACAATAGCACTATCTTTGGTCTATGTTTTCTAATCCAATTCCTCACCACTGCCTTCCTACTTCTCTCCCTTAAACCCCTCATATTCCAGCTTAACAGCTTCATTCTTACCTCCTTCCATCTGGCTACTATAGTCCTCAGGAATTGCATGCTGCTACCACGGTTCGTAAGTTTCTTAGAACTTGTCAATATCAATTTACATGATAGAGTAGAACCAACCTGTGATATACTTTTCAAAATCATTCATGCTAGATGTGGAATGATATGAGATATTTGCTTTCTCAGCAGAAATGGTCAAATGGCTGAATATACAAAGTGGCTTTTGTTGAGGATTTACTGTTCTATGTTTTCTGCTTTTTAGTTAATGTTATTGGGCCCAAGGCCCATCAATTTAAAGTTTCTTTAAGTTATGTTTAAGTGTGTGGACAGTAGCCGCCCTATTGAGGGCATATTTGACATTGTTTATTTTTTACTCTTTAAGTATAAAAGTTAATGGGAGAGATGGCTAGATTATTATTGGCTTTCTCTTCACTCTTCTCTCAACTTCTACTTGTTTTCCTTTCAAGACATCTTCTTCTTACTTTTTGCTTTTATTTCTTAAACTCTTTTTGTTTCTTTTAATTTCTAGTTGCTATCAGTGCAATCTTTAGAGATTCTTGGGATTAATCCATACAGCCCTAGATCAGCCGATTGCATGGAAGAATAGAGGGCCGATTGTTGGTTCAAAATCTTTCTTTTAACACTTAATACGTATTTGTTTTGTTGATTCAAAAGTTATTTGTCATTTCTTTTGTTGTGATTCTTGACTGAAGGAGTTTATGTTTTAGAAGGAAAAAAGCTTCCGGTGTAATCCTATGTGGGATATTTTGTTTGCTTTCTATAATGTAACATAATACACCATAAATCAATTCATTTGAATTTCTCATCATTCATTGGTGCAAATTTAAGCTTTCATTTACTAATTGTTGGTGGCAATTTTCCCTCTTTGGTTGGTCAATTAATGGAGGCATCTCAATTCATCTATGTTGTTTATCGAAGCATCTATTAGATATAATTACTAAATGGCATGACCTTTGTTATTTATATCAGGCATATATTGGACTATATGGCGTCCATTACTTGCTCATTGGTGACACATTTTTTCCCAGGGATGCTGCATTTGTGCTTAAATATATGCACAGAGTAGGTTATTGGTTCATTGGGGATAAATTGTCTCCTTTGATTTAAGAAGACATGGGATTATTTGCTTTTGGCATGACATTCAAGAATTGAGCTCTGAAGCCAAATGCCCCTTTCTGACAATCTCATCATGAATTCTCAATCTGAAGGTCGAACTAGAGAAAATGGGGATTTCAATAGTTCAAATTCTTCTATATATGGAGATATTGTTGAAATGGCACTAAATACCAATGCTGAAGCTGAGGGTATGGAAAGTCACTTTATCATCTTCTGTCTTCTCCTTGTTTATGGCACTGACTTGTGGTTTGTTTTACAGATAAGAAACGGGCAGATTTGGTGGAGTGGTTAAATGGTATTCTTCCTGATTTGAGGTTGCCGTTGGAAGCTTCTGAAGAGGATATAAGAGCATGTTTGATTGATGGGACTGTTCTCTGTTGTATTGTAAACAGGCTTAGTCCTAGGCCTGAAAATGAGGTTGGATTCTTTTGTACACATCTGAATTTTCAATAATACTGTTAATTGTTAGTTTTAGAAGTTGGGATTTTCATTTAGTGTTATTTCCTGTAGGGGAGTAGTTACATTCTTTCTTCTGAGGTGTATTTGGATAATGTTAAAAGGTTTCTGGCAGCCATGGATGAAATGGGGTTGCCCAGGTTCAAACTATCAGACCTAGAGCAGGTATATTTATGTTTACTAAGAATCTAGTTTATATATTAAAGCCAAAATAGAATGAGAAAGGACCATTCTTCCTTCCCTTACCTAAGAATTACGTAGGAATGCAAAAGAATGATCTGGTATGTAATTTTTTTTTTGTGGTAAAATGAAATTTCATTAAAAGAAAAAGTACATTCTTGTAGGTGATAAGGCATTGCCATAAACATGAATACAACCAGAAAATTACTAGCTTATCATGAAGTTTTCCAGATTACACAATTGGAATCCCAACACTTCCCCAAATTTATTCCCCAGATCCTCCCTAGAGACTGTAATTTTATGATCTAGTATGTAATCTCATGATACAATAGAAGTACCCTTCAAATTGCTGCCTTGATACAAGTGTTAATTTGTTAATGAGGAAATTATGCCTGGCATGTGTCCTTGTTTTAGTGAACAAGTCCACTAGTTGAAGTCCAAAAGAGATGTGGGAAATGTGGAGACTCTTGATGTACTGTAGTACTATAGTCCCTGTTGTACTATAGTCTTATTTTTTCTATTCCTTTGACTCTTTGGGGGTAGGGGTCGTGGATCACATTTGACACCCCTGAAACCTTTGTCTCTTGCCTCTTGAACTGGTAGATTGACATGGTATCAGAGCAGGTTGTGTCTACCAGCTATTGTTTCAGTTTGTTTCTTTGGATGTTTAAGGACTGTTTGAGAAGTTTTTTGACCGTCATCGAGCACTGTTTGAAGGTGTTTTGATCAGCTGAAAGTGATAGTTTAACTACAGCATGTGGAAGTTCCATTTTGATTTCTTTGTTGAAGGAAAAAGGTCTGGAAGGATATTTGAGTGGAAAGGTTACTAGACCTGACTGCTGCAAGTATTGATGGGAAATTAATTAATTTTGGGGTTGACACTGCTTTTATTGTTCAAGAAAGTAAGAAGTTAGGTGCTAAGGACTTCTCAAAAACTTAGTGTTATGAGTGCAAGGGGTTTGGACACATTGCTTCTCACTGCAAGAAAAGGAATGTTTGCACTTATTGTAAGTAGCATGGTCATATCATTCCAAACTGTCTGGTTAGGCCATCTAAGGGTGCTCAGAAGAAGAACCTACCAAGTGCATATCAAGTGAATGGGGCACAAACCGCAGGCATCTCTTCTACCAAGGGTGATTCCTCTATTAAGGGTGAACCTTCTACCTCTATGGATGAACAAAAAATTTGACAACCGGTATCCTTTACTATTTCCTCTACCTTTTCTGCTATCGACCAATTTGCTGAGTTTTCTGGTTATTGTTCCTCTCAATCTCATGTTTGGATCATTGATTCTGGTGCAACTAATAGGAGTTACCCTGAACCCTAGATAATATTTTTGAAACCCACCATAGACAGATCATTATCACCAATGGTGAGAAATTAAATATCATTGGTAGTAATGACTTGTCCCTTAAGCTTTCATCTACTGCCTCCATTCCCCTTACCAAAACCTTTTTTGTTCTGAACCGTAGTTGTCAAGGCGACTAGGTGCTTTTCAAAGAGCGCCTCACCCAAATGCTAGGAAAAAATAATGTTAGGTGCATGCTTAGACAACTGAAACAAATATATAATATACAATACTTATTAAATAAAAACAAATATAAAATATATAATATTTTATTGGTTTGTTCTAGTTTTTATAATAAAACCTGTTGCATGTTATCATGTTTTTGTTGTGAGGGAAGTAAAATAACAAACTTAATCTTTGATGCTTTCACTTTGACAAAAGAATCGAACTGAGGAATAGGAGAGAACAACAGCCCTCCATCGTTCCCACACAGTCCTTTAAGTCAAGGTGAGTTAATCGTCTTCTTCTTCTTCTTCTTCTTCTTCTTCATTTTGTTCTCTGTTTCCTTTCTTTTTGTTGGTTAAAAACAGTGGTTACACCCCATTTTTCTCCTCTTCTTTTTTGTATCTTTTCCCCAAGCTTTTTGAATCATTTTATTGGACTGAGGGGTTCTGCCCCCTTCTTTTGTTTTTAAGTTTCTTGCATGTTTTCAACTTTTTTTTTTCTCATTATTGGTGTCTGAAATAGGGGTGGAAAAGGGGCTCCACCCCTTCTTTTCTTCTTTTATTTTAGGATTTTTTTACCAACTTTTTTGGGTCTAGAATAGGGGCTCCACTCCCAACTTTTCTTCTTTACTTTCTTCTTTTATTTTAGTATTTGTTCCCTAGGTTTTTCTTGATCTAAAACAGGGGCTCCATCCCCTTTTGTTCTTAAATTTCTTGCATTTTTCAGCTTCATTTTTTCTCATCAGTGGTGTCTGAAACAGGGGCTCCACCCCTTATTTTAATATTTTTCACCAGCTCTTCTGGGTATAGAATAGGGGCTCTTCCCCCTTCAGTTCTTTTAAGTTCTAACTTGTAAGTTGTAACTCTAATATTGTGTTTTGCTTACTTGAAGTAACACTATAAGAAACACAAACACAGAAGCATGTGTAGAGGTTTGTAGGTTAATACATAAAACCAAAAAAACTAGCTTAGAAGGGACAGAAATCCATCGACTTCTTGTTTTTAAATTCCATTGCCTGGGAGAGGGTCATGGTCGCATAGCCTCGCCTTGGCGCCTTGAAAACCATGTTTCCAACCTTACTACTAATCTGATTTCTATTGGCTAAGGTCATATACTTACATTTTCTCATGATGGTTGTTTGATTCAGGACTGGTACACTGGGAAGGTGAAAGGGAAGGGGCATAGGCTGGGCCGTCTGTTTGCGTTGGAATTCGAGAATTCTGAGGCATTATCATCATCATCTTATTTTAGTTCATTGTCTTCTGGTTCTTTTGTTACAAGTATTTTGTTTTGTTCATTGTTGATTGCACTATAAGAGTATAAGTCAGAAGTCTATCTTACATTTCGACTATTTCATGCTATGGTATGAGTTCAATTCCAGTCTCACGGACGTGTTCTCTGCTCAAATTCACAAACGTGTTCTCTCTACTGTTCATCTTATTGACGTGGTATTGGAGCAGGTTCTCTGCACCAACTCTCAGCATATGATTTCTACTCAAGATTGAAGATTACTCTTGAGTTCCCACATCTGGTTTGAAGTTTCTGTGTATTTTTTTGATCAGTCAACATCATACTCTGTTCTGTTCTAGACTTCTGTGCCAGCAGCTTTAGGGTTTTCTTTGGTTCTCTTGTTTGAAGCGTTAGAGCCGAATAAAGCTTTGGATTTAGTGTCACCCAGAGGAACTGTACTGATGTCTCCTTGCCTGGTCTGGTTCAAATTCGTTTGGAAAGGATTTTGAGCTCTCTTCTGGTATTTCTCCTGGAAAAGGACACTTACCAGGTTGGGTTTTCTTCGATTTCTCTTGATTTGCTGCTTGGTTCACTGAAACTCTAGAGTTGGTGTCACCTTCACTAATTCTAGATACTATTTGGTTTGGTTGAATATTTCAATCTGTTTTAGTAAGATTTTGATCTCTTTTTTGAATCGGTAGGACCGCAATCTCTCTTTCTTGGACTGTTAACTTTGAATACTTTGCTAGTTGGACTTGTTTCCTAGGAAATCCTTCTTCTGTTGTGGGACTTTTTCTTCTTAGTGTATTGGAAGATTTCAGATGCTTTTTTCTTGAAGATAAGTCATTATTTGTCCAATTGTGTGCTCGGCTTCAATACTGGTATAGTTTTTATCTGTGAACTGTAGTCTCATGCTCCCTCTTCCTTAAAGAAAGAAATAGATTTGAAGACAGATACAAATCTCATGATTGTCTTGCTTCTAGTTTGCAATAAGATTATGGAATGGGTCCTAATTCTTCTAGAGTTTGAGGGAGATAACAAAGAGTCTTTTGGGTTTGGTTTTTGGAATGTAATGAATTTTGATAGTGGGGGGAATTGATATTGTGTTCTTTTTTTCTGTTTGGAATTGTTTTTTTTTTTTTGTTTCTCTTCTGGGTGATATTTCATCACTTGTAGTATAGTGAAGATATTATAAAAAAGTGTGTGGTAGACATAGTGAAGATATTGACAAGCTGAATACTTGAGGAGATATGAGGGAAAGAGACAATGCTAGCAAGGAGATCAGTGGTGAAGGGGTAGTTGGGTAGAGAGAGGAAAGTGAAGCTCTTGAAGAAAGTCTCTGTAACCATATAATTTCATTGCATGCAACAAACATAGCATGATACTCACCGCTCTTGGTATGATGGTGAAATCCTCCTTGATGCTATACTCTACCAGTAGCTTGTTGGCGGTCTTTATACCTCACTATGACTTGACTAGTCATTTCTTATGTTGTTCAAGTGGTCTGTTTGTGTCTTCTCAACAATCTCATATGTTTATAATTCTCTGAATCATCCACTATATACATGGAACTCTGTCACATGGGTCATTCTTCCCTTCTTCCTCATCTCTTAGACTTTTTTGCCTATGCAACTGCTGATTGGGCAGGATGCCCAAAGGCAAACACTAGACACTCTACTATTGGTTGGCGTTCCTTTCTAGGGGATTCTCTTGTCTCTTGGGAGTGTAAGAAGCAATGGACTATCTCAAAATCCTCCATTGAAGCTGAAACAAGCTGATGCTTGTTTCCTGATATTATTTTGAGAGGGGGGGTAGAGATTCTATATCCTGATCCTATCTTATTTTCCTTGTACTATGAGGCTTGGGGGCATTATTGTATGATGTATCATATGTATACTACCTTTTATTTGTACAACTGTATTTATTCTTGTAAGAGTAGGGAATAATGGTCCTTTCTCACTTTTGTATATCATTCATATACCTACCCTATTCAAACATCTCTCTCTCTCTCTCTCTTGTTTGAACTGGGTTAACATATAGGATCTCCTCTTGCTCATTCTTCAAATCCCATCTCAAATCTTGTACCTCTTCTTTGATATTTTTCTAAGTCTCCTTCTCATCTAATTCCTCAATTCAAGACATTAGATCAAGCTTCTGGTCCTACTGAGGGGTAAAATTGTAAAATAGACATTTTTTTAGAGGTTAGAGCATTTAGGCTATATTGGGGGGGGGGGGGGGGTTCAGCCCCAAAAATCCACAAAACCATGTTTATAAGAAGCCATAAAAAAGAGTCTTAGGTCACTGGACAACTTCAGTGCATTTTTAGAGATCTGGAAAAGCAGAAAAGCAAATTTACCTAGGTTTATCTTGTCATTAGGACCTCTACACGCTGTACGCCTGATTACACATGTGGTGTTCATCTTGTCACACACAAACAATTTATGCATATGCTTGTGCATGTTAGTATATCCATATACATGTTGCACTCACATTCATATGACTCTGGGTCTGCTAGAAACAAGGCATCGAAAGCAGGCTAGAAGCACCAGTCAGAAGTAAATACATCAGTTTTCTGTACTGTTATCAGATGTACCATCAGCTGCCATGTTTACTTCTGACTTGGTGTTTCTAGTCTGGTTTCCATGCCTTGTTTCTAGCAGATCCAAACTCCAATCATACATCAAAAAGAGTTATCCTTCCAAGAATACCGGTCCTTATTTGTTTGAGTTAGTGCTCTACAGCATATCCATCCACTCTGTGTTTAATAGTTAATTCATGTACCATGCAGGGCTCCATGACTACAGTTTTGGGGTGCCTTTGGACACTTAAGCAGCACTTTGGTTCCATTCTTGGGGTAGACAATAATTTGGTTTCAATTTTTACGCCTAGAAGCCATAATAGGAAGAAATGGAGAGTTTCAGATCATGAACACTTGGAGGAAAATAATGGCAGCCATGAGGATACTGCTTCATGTGGACAGCAGACAGCATTATCTGGAGAAGAGAGACAAAAGAATGTTTCAGACTCAAAATTTCATCATGTTCTGTGTAGCCCTGTCATGTCAGGTATGGTTACAGTTGTTATTATGTCGGGGAACGGATTTGTCTTGCCTTTCATGGGAAATGTTGTAGTTAGATGTTCACTGTCATATGTTTTGCAGTTGTTTCACTATTTGTGGTTAACAATTTGATCTCACATGGAACTGACTTCATAACTATCAGTTGCTAGAATTATTTGTTCCTAGTTAAGCAAGCAAAAATATTTAACGTTAATTATGCATTTTGCTTTTGGCTCTCTCTCTCTCTCTCCATTATAAGGTGGTGAAACCTAAAAAGCAACCTAAGGAAACATTATTGTCATAGGGATTTCTTTACACTTCAACCAATTCAAAGTCTGACTTGCTTTGATATAAACTAGTATGATTGATCAATGATATGAAAACTTGAGAATAAGGTCTGAAAAGAAAAGAAAAAGTAGAGAGAAAAGGTAGGGAAAGATTCTTGATACAGTAGGGAACAGGGAGAAAAGAAGAAGAAAGAGAAAAGGATCTCCAAGGAAGAAAATTCAAACAGGTCTCTTCCCCTTATCGATCTAAACTTTTATTTCATTTGAAATAGATCTCCAAATTACAGAAATGCCCCTGTTAAGTGATTCTTAAAAGGGAACTTGCAAAGGCATATTCAAAAGACAAAAATGCCCCTTATGGGCAGACATTTCAACAAATGGCCTGTGCTGTAATTCCTCTATTATGTTTTTTCTCTTCTATTGTAAACATTTAATTTTGAATTTACTGTTATCCTATTGGATGGCATAAAATTTTGTATATATTGCAGGTGATATTTGTGTTTCTTTATAAAGTTAGTTATGGAGGGTCTACCAAATTCCAATTGATTCCTCTTTCAACCCAAATAGTATAACTATGGCCTGAAACAATCACGTAGAGCGTGGTTTGGCCGGTTTAGTGAGGTAGCGAGCAGTTTGGTTCAAAGCAGTGTAGGCTGGATCATTCTATCTTCAGTTTTGATGCAGCAATAAGATAATGCATGTGGTTTATGTTGATGATATTGTTATTGCTGGCAGTGATCAACATGGAATAGAGACTCAAGCAGTTCTTGCAACAACATTTTCAGACTAAGGACCTTGGTACATTGTTACTTTCTAGGTATTGAGATGGCAAGGTCCAGACATGGCATTAGTTTATGTCATAGGAAGTACTACCTAACTATTACAAGAATCAGCATTTCATTTGTTGTAAGGTTGAGGGCTAAATTGATGCTGATTGGGCTGGTTCTATTGTAGATAGGAGGTCAACAACTACTTACTGCACATTTGTGGGAGGTAACCTTGTCACTTGGAAGAGTAAGAAACAGAGTGGTTGCATGGAGTGGTGTAAAAGTTGAATATAGGGCAATGGCACACACTAGATGTGAGTTGGTCTGGTTGTGACATCTCTTACGGTTATAGAAACTTGGATGTAGCGCTTCTATAACTACTGTGTTTGTGTGATTAGATAGCCAATGGGCATATCTATTCACTAAAAGTTTGTGGAACTTAATCATTTTGTGGAAGCTTATGAGTTGTGGGAACTTCCATTGTTACAAAAAAACTTCACATGTTCAAACTTTCAAGAGGAGACTCTATATTGTAATCTAGACTGGTTTCTATATTCCTCAATTGGAAGGATGGTTAGAAGGGAATGGTACTAGACCCACCTAGACTTGCTTCAGACCATTGTCTAATTAGACTCTCAAGAAAGAGTGGGAGGAGGACCTTTCCCATTTAGGTTTGTGAATATGTGGTTGTGTTCCACCCTGAATCTGTGGGGAAAGTGAAAGATTGGTGGGAAGAAGACCAAGTGGAGTTTAGATAGAAAGGGTGCAAATTCTATAAGAAATTTTAAAAATTGTAAGCTAGGATGAAAGATTGGGAAAATGAGGTGTTTGGAAGAGTAGAAGAGAGGAAGGAATGGGCTGGCCTTAGGATAGAGGAGCTTGATAGAAACTAAGCTGAAAGAAGAATGCAGATGGAGGAGAAAGTGGAAAGGTGGAAGTTAAAGTAGGAGCTAGAAGAAATATTGAGAAGGGAGGATATTAGCTGGAGACATAAATCTAGATGTAGGTGGCTGCAGGAAGGGGATGGTAACACAAGATTCTTTCATGCCAGTTCCCCCAAAAATTGTGGCGTTTTGTTGGGAAGTATTCCATGGGAAAGTAAACACTCTAGATAACCTACAAAAGAGAAGACCTTTCCTTTGTATTTCTCCTAATTGGTGTATCCTCTGTAGAGCTCACGGTGAGGAATTTTACCACTTATTAATATCTTGTCCCTTTTCTGCAGACCTTTGAGCTTGGCTACTTTTGTTGTTTGGGAGTAGTTAGAATCTACCAGCAGAAGTTCACATGCTCTTCAACCATTCTACCTTTTATTGGCCTACAAAAATAGGGAGAATTATGTGGAGATGTGCTTGTGCTACCTTGATTTGGACTCTTTGGGAAGAAAGGCATGCTAGAATTTTTCAAGAAAAGGAAAGGAGCAGTCGGGAATTGAAAGACTGTGTGCTGACTAGGGCAATACCTTGGCTGAAGACCTTGGAAATCTTTCATCAGATCTCCTTTAATGACCTTTGGAGAAATCGGTTAGCAGTAGCGAGGTGCTCATCCCTAAAGGACAAATCAATTACAAGCTGGTCTCCTCCACCTGATGGCTCACTGAAGTTGAACTTTGATGGAAGTAGCATGGGTAATCCAAGATTATCCGGAATGGGGGGTGCTTTGAGAAATGAGAAGGGAGAGATTTTATTGCTCTACTTAGGTTCCTTAGGAATTGGGGACTCCATCAGGGCAGAACTATTAGCTGCTGTAGAAGGGGTGCAATTTGCAAACCAGCTGGGGGTACAACACCTAACAATCGAGGTGGATTCCAAAGTGGTGGTGGGTTGGTTGAAAAATCCTGAAGAGGCTATGTAGCGTTGCAAGAATGAAATGAAGAAATTTAGTTSGTTGACAAGGAATATGTTGGTCACTGTACAGTGGGTGGGGAGATCAGCAAATACTTTGTCAGATGTGTTAGCCAAGCAAGGGGTAAATAGGGAAGAATTGTTTTSGGCTYAGTTGTGATTCTTGCTTTTCTTTCCTAGTTTACTTGTAAGATTCAAGGAGGGGCTGCAACTCGCACCTCTCCCTGGGATGTTGTATGAACTCACTCTAAATCAGCTTTTGAATTAATAAATTTATTATCATTCATAAAAAAAAAAGATTGGAGTGGAGAGGATTAGTATTAACAAGAGAAGAGGACATAACATAAGTTTTTATGGTCCATTTCAAAGCCATCTATGATAGTCTTGATAGAGTGAGAGAGTGGTTATTAAAATTGGATTGGTAGGTTGGTAGTTGGGAAATGATGGATAGCTTGGAAAAGAATTTTGAGACCAAGAAGTAAAAGATGCAATTTTCTCTGTGGAGAGATCTAAACCTCTAGGTCCAAATGGGTTCTCGAAGGCATTTTATCAAGATTGTTGGGACATTATTGGTGATGATTTAATGGATGTTTTTACTAAATTCTATGGGAGGCAAAGAATTTCAGACCTATAAGCTTAGTGGGGAGCATGTATATAGTCATCCATAAGGTATTAATTCCAAAGATAAGATGTTTTGAGAATGGGGCACAGTTTCTTTCCTACTCTACCCGGAAATTTATATTAAGGTTTAAAACACAAGAAATTACATAGAAAAATAGGGGTGGCTACGGCCGAGCTCTTCACGAGCTCGGCTTGGCTTGGTTTCTACCGAGCTCGAGCCCAATTTATAGGCTTGTTTATTAATCAAGCCGAGCTTCTCAAGTCGAGCTCGAGCTTATGAGCTTTTGACTTCATCCAAGCTCAAGCTCAAGGTTCTAGCTCAAACCGAGCTTGAGCCTTGTACTACCTTGGCAAGCCGAGCTCGAATAGCTAGCTATTTGGCTCGGCTCAGCTCGAATCCACCCCTAGAGAAAAACAAAAGAAACACATAATGTATAAGGCCCAGACCCACTAATAACCAATTCAACATTTAAGCCCACTTACATATTATGTCTCACAACACTCCCCCTCAAGTGGAGCATAGTTATTTATCATGCTCAACTTTTAACTTTAAGGGTCCATCATTTTGGATTTCCAACTCCTTTGATAGGATATGTATCCACAGAAGTTCAGCCAAGCCTTGAGCCATAGCCCTATGTTCAGCCTCAGCACTAGATCTAGCCACTACTGTTTGTTTTTTGCTTCTCTAGGTAACCAAGTTTCCACCAACAATGTGCAATATCCAGTTGTAGATCTTCTATCTCCAGTAGACCTTGCCCTATTAGCATCTGAGAAGGCTTCAACATAAATTTTATCATGCTTCCTAAAAAGCAGTCTCTTCCCTGTATAGGTCTTGAGATACCTTTGGATCTATTCAACAACTCTCATATGAGAGATTTTGGGTGCATGCATAAATTGACTTACAATGTGTACTACATAAGAAATATCAAGCCTAGTGAGAAATAGATACAAAAGTTTACCAACCAAATGTTGGTATCTCTCTTTATCTGCATACAACTCATCTTCATCACCTTCTTGCTGTCCGTGGCTTTGTTCAATTGGAGTATCCACAGCTCCACCCCTATTGATGTGAATCACAAGCTCTCAGCTGATGATGGAGATCTTTTGACCGACATGGGAGTGTTTCGGAGATTGTGGGGAAACTTCTTTACCTTTGTATGACACGTCCAGACGTTTCATATGCTGTGACTATGAGTGTAATTAGCCAACTCATTTATGCCCCTAGAGACACATATATGGCTTCTACAGTAAGGGTGCTATGTTATCTTAAGAGTATTGATCCTGGGAAGGGCATACTATATGGCAAGCATGCTCATATGAAGTTAGAGGCCTATATAGATGCTGATTGGATAGGTAATATAGATGACAAGAGATCCACATCGGGTCACTGTGCTGTGGTATTTGGAAATATTGTTTCTTGGAGGAGTAAAAAGCAATCAGTGGTAGCTAGATCTTCAACTGAGGCAGAATATAGGGCTATGGTCCATG